TATGTGGTCCTTTTTCGCACCGTACGTAGCCAACCGTGATAATCGGAGGTGCAGAATCACATGATACCGTGCAGGCAATTTGTAACTCCACTAATAGAGGTTGTGTTTTTGGGAGTGACATCGTGTAAATTATTTACGCGATCTAACCGACCCAAAAAAACCTCTATTGTGAATCATATTGGTTGCTGAAGCCGAGGTGTTAAACAGTTACTCCACTTTTGATTTAAAGCTTTCGTGACTGCAGGGATTCATATTCTTGGTTCTTTCGCTAAAGTCACGTAGAAGGGAAACAATAAAATAATAAAAATGTTAAACAATACAATTCTCACGACGTTTCGACTGCAACACAAGCAATCATCATCTGATGAATAAATAACTCCACTGTTGGATAAAGTGGCGAGGGGGGCGGATTGTTTGACCATACTTCACCGCGCTGGTCGGATATCATTCGCCACTGACGTTAGCCGTGGCCGTGGAATCGACAGCCCCCGAGTGGCGTAGCGCACCACCGCTCCAACCACTGCACCACCGCTCCAACCACTGCACCACCGCTCCAACCATTGCACCACCGCTCCACCCACGCGTACCCAGTGCGCGCGTGAACACGACAGTATACATGACAGTATACATCACAGTATACACGTGGAGGTGTGCGCTATAATGAATTAAATGTATTTGGAACGCTATGTACATACGCGCGCACATGCAGTATATACAGTATACAATTGCAAACTATTGACAAGTGGCTGAAGATTAATTGGTGGTATATTTCTTCGTGCTTATTTATGTTGTCCCGAGAGCGTTTGCGTTTTCCGGGCAGTTGAACGACCGATCCAGTAACTAATCTCACATTTAAACCCACGCTTGATTGGCAGATGATGACGAATGTTATGCAACGTTAGGATTGTACACAACAACGAGAGAGACATCTTCTTGGTTCTTTCGGTAAAGTCACGTAGAAGGGAAATAATAAAATAATAAAAAAAAAACATTATAAAATCATTCTCACGACGTTTCGGCCAGAACGCAAGCAGCCGTCCTCAGGTGAAGAAGTACATGTATTTGGAACGCATTCTTCACCTGAGGACGGCTGCTTGCGTTGTGGCCGAAACGTCGTGAAAATTATTTTATTATGTTTTATTATTATTATTTTATTACTTCCCTTCTACGTGACTTTACCGAAAGAACCAAGAAGAGGAATCCCTGCAGTCACGAAAGCTTTAAATCGAAATTTAATATTTTATTATGTTGAATTTTTATTTTTTTATTATTTCCATTCTACGTGACTTTACCGAAAGAACCAAGAAGACGAATCCCTGCAGTCACGAAAGCTTTAAATCGAAAGTTAACGACAGAGACACCGACACCCAATCCCGCGTGTTGAACTTCTTTCGCATCGTACGTAGCCAATCGTGGCACCTTCTGTTAGCGAGCACCTATCATAGCCGGCACGGAACCACGGTCTGTGTCGCCCCCATGTTTACACAACTCACTAAACTCTGAGTTGACATGTAGGACGGTCCACGGGACAGACTCAGATTAATAACTCGCCAATGACGTTAGCCGCGGTCGGGAATTGAACTCGAAGTGGAGGGATTTGTACATAGCGCGTGGTGCGACAACCATTCACGCCACCGCTCCCTTCCGCCACAAAGAGACAAAGACTCCCACCCCCGTGTCGCCTGAACAGACTGCAAGTGCTGCTATCGACTCGCACCAATGAAGGTCGGCACGGCACGCGAGGGGGTGGGGTGGCCAACACCACGCCCGGCCGCCTTTGTCTTCTGAGTGGCGATGTTTAAACACACACACACAAACCTCATACATATACAAAGCGTCACCCATGCACCATTACGAACTCTTTCTTAGCGAAACTTACAATTTAAATTGGCGTTTGTCCCGTGTTTCGTACATCTGGCCAGCGTGGAAGAGTAGGCCAAACATCGTCTGTAGACCTGTTCTTTATAGCTTTCTCTTAATGTAAAGATATCCGCCAGCAGCTGCAAGGATGCGCCTTGAATTCTGCGCGTAAAAGCTTCGTATTGCTAAACCGGCAGCAATATGTGGCCGCTTTTTATTGGCTGTACCGTCACACTCTTTAAAAAAAACAAAGAACACACATGTCACACTCGAAAATTTTGTGATGAAAATTCCGATTTTATATTTTGACTAAGCGTCCTAGGGCCAGGTTCGAATACACAATTGAACATTGTACGAATCCTAGCCCGACATTTTGCCGTAGCCAGGTTCGAAAATTAGAATGTTTCTGATGTAAACAAAACTTTAGTTTCCAGTTTGGCTTTTGCACCACTTCTATAAAATGGAAATATAAATATGAAAATTAAATTATTTTTTTCACCTCGGATTATTTAGAGAACAAACTTTAGTGGACGTTCGGCAAATTGGTGGTGATTTATTTTACTTATGAGCAAATAATTAACTATAATGGTTGCCAAATGTCCGATGTATTGGCCTGCAGCAACATCGATATGATCGCGGACACGAAAGTCAACACACGCGCGTGTTTACTGATTGGAGAGGTGGCGATTTTCGGCCACATGAGTTCGATTCCCGGCCACGGCTACCCTTGACCTACACACTTCACCATACTAACCCCACACTGACCAGCGAGGTGAAGTATGGTCAAACGAAGCCCCGTGGCCAAACCCGGCGTGACCTTCTGGCTTAATTAACCTGCTCGGCTAAGATAACGGATGCTACCATGAGATCACATTCAGCAGTGGATTGATCAAGGTCTGTAACATATTTTAGTTGTGATTAATTATCATGACATTAGTGAGCGAAGTTGTGCTGATGCATGCGTATACATATGCATAGCCAGTGAGATTTTATTTTTAAATTTAAATGAAAATCGTGCGCTGTACAACATTAAAGGAACACTCCGTTCATTTACATTCATGTGGCTTTTGCGACTGAGATGAAAGAAAGAGTCTAACGTTTCGGGTGAATTGCCTTATTCAGGCAATAATGTTATACCAAGTAGAGTCGTCACAGGATATGTGAAACGCGCTAAAATTAACGATAATAGTGACGATGGTGTTGATAATAATTTATGATGATGTAAATGATAATGATGATTGTGGTGGTGGTGGTAATGTTGGTGATCACGATGATGATGAAACTGATGGTGATAACGGTGTTGATGATGGAATAATGATTCTTGTCTCAGAGCAGAGCCAATGATGTGCAGTGTATGGACGTTAACCAAGTGACCAAACTGCGCTACATGTTTTCTTTCCCTGCAAACGGCCAGTCGACCAAAACGTCGAGATATTTATTTTCTCCAGGTGACAATGCAACATCTAAAACCCCACGTTCACGTCCATATTCTTAGTGAACCAACTATCGATTTTCACTTCAATCTGTAAAAAAATCCCCCTAGATATAAAATAAAAATCAATCCGTTGTATTTCGTGTGAATACACTCATGCATCCATACATACATTACACACACACACGTGCGCGCGCGAGAAATATGAATATGAATCACAATTGAGATGCGGAAACGAACACTGAAGATGAATTCCGATGCTTTGACCAAGTTGACACAAACTAACGCCACTCGGAGGATGTCTCCGAGTAACGATCTGTGTTCAACTGATGCGCCACCCCCCTCCGTTACATTTCCTCACAGATTATTCGGCTCGTGACAATTTCGCTGACGGCACATTTGGACCAACTTGGGGGGAGGCGTGGAAGCGGGAGTCAAGAATCTGGAGGTTTTGGGGGGGAAGTGTTCTCGGAATACCAAAACAAGCATCGCATCTAGAGTTCACACACACACATATATATACAAATTATACAAATAAACACGGTGTATGCGTTGAGGAATGGGTATCGACAACGTAACATTGGAGTGGTCTCTGCACGAGTCGGATGTCCAAGTGGAAGAAAATATTCACGGATCAGACGATGGTGTGAGACGCTTCGTTGTGTCTCCACTGAGCAGCAGTTGAGGGATCTGGTGGATGGTGGACATCTCTGGCGAGGTGGTGATGATGATGATGATAGTGGCGATGGTGGTGGGCATTGACGGCTCTGTCCATGATCCGATCGTGGTGTTATTGATCTGTATAATCACCGTCTCGTGTGCGTGTGTGTGTGTCCGTGTTCGTTTTGAGCAAATGGTGCTGCCACTTACAGGGATCTTGGGAGGGCGATTTGTTCCCAAAGTGAGCAACGAAGGATGACCACCCAAAACGAGGGGGGGGGTGTCGGGAGGGTTCGGGGGGGTCGAGGGGGAGGGGGTGTAATCCCCGAATCACCACTCGTGAGTGTTTAACAGCCGTAGGAAGTGGACCCACGTGGAGAGACAAAACAACGTAACAACGACGACGACAAAGATGACGAGGAGTGTGTGGTCCGGCCTTGCTAGGGTCATCAGTCAAGCGCTGCCTGATGCTGCTGCTGCTGCAATGGTCAGCACACCGCACTGGCCATCCAGAAGTCGTCGGTTCGCGATCCATCTCCGGGTGCCGCAGTTGAAACGACGCTGCAAGTTGATCAAACCCCCCCCCCTCGCTCTCGCCCTCGTCTCCACGTCCACCCGGAGACATCAAATTGAGTCAACGCCCGCACGCCTCTGAAGGCGACCGTCCCGTCACATCGCGTCGGCGTGAAACGTCGCGCGGGTAGACTCCGAGACAACTCTCCCGTCACGTGCGCCACGTGCGTCCGGCCGACTCGCAAGCAGCAGGGCGACAAACTCGCGCACTCGCTGCTGGTGGGGGGGGGGGGGGGGGAGGTTGGGTGTGGGGGGCTCTTCGGTTGCAGCTGCCTCGAGTGACGGAGGCTCCCGTCTCCGGCAGCACCGCCACCTACCCAGCCAGGTGACCAACTCTGCGGCCCGATCTGAATGCAATGATCATCACCCCCCCCCCCCCGTGATTGAGTTTCCACTGCTTAGGCAGCTGAGAGGGGGGGTGGGCGATGGGGTGACAGCGGCAGGGGTGGAGAGGAGGAGGGGTTGTAGTGTGTCGTTATGACGAGTGTAGGATGGTGGCTCGCTGATAGAGGCCCTGCGAGCAGTAGTAGGTGGCTTCGTTGGCGCTGAGCGGCGAGACGGGATCCTTTGCGTGAGTCGCCTCGACAGAGCTGCACGCGGCCAGGGCTCCGAACGCCGAGTAGCGAGGGTTGTCGATGTGCTCATGATGATGGTGCTGTTGCTGCTGATGATGATGCTGCTGATGATGATGATGCTGCTGCTGCTCAGCCGCAGACATGAGGCTGTGGATGGAGAATGGGTGGGTGAAGTTGCAGCGCGGGTCGATTTTGAGCGCGTCTTGGTTTTGCAGGGCGTGGTGATGATGGTTGTGGTGATGGTGGTGATTGTGGTTGTGGTGGTGACCGTGGTGGTTGTGATGGCCGTGATGTGCTGCATCCTGCTGCTGCTGCTGCAACTGCTGGTGGTGATGATGATTGGACCTGTCGCCTCCATTCATGCACAGCTGCTGTTCCGACAAAGCAGGCGCGTTGCGGTAAGTCGCCGACGCAGACGATGACGACGACGACGATTGCGTCGATCCTTTGACGTCCGCGCGCCTCGCCACGGTCACGGCCACGGCGCTTTCCTCCTCCTCCCGCTCCTCCCCCTCCTCCCCCTCCCGCTCCCTGTGCTCATCCCTCGCCGCGTGCTGCCGCCTCTCGCCCTTCGTCGCGGCCGCAGCCCCGGCGAGACCGTTGCCCGGGGCCTTCTTGTGACACTTGAACCTCTTCTGCCGCCGCAGGTAGCAGCCGTTCTCGAACATGTTGCCCGAGTCCGGGTGGAGGGCCCAGAAGGAGCCCTTGCCCGGCTTGTCGGGCGAGCGCGGCACCTTGATGAAGCAGTCGTTGAACGAGAGCGAGTGGCGGATGGAGTTCTGCCAGCGCTGCTGGTTCTGCCGGTAGAAGGGGAACAGGTCGGTGATCCACTGGTAGATCTCGCACAGCGTCAGCATCTTGCCGCTCGACTGCTGGATGGCCATGGTGATGAGCGAGATGTACGAGTACGGCGGCTTTGCGTGCGCGTAGCTGCTCCTGTAAGGCGGCTTAGATTCGCGCGAGGTCCGAATTCCCAGAGTGCCGCCTCCGCCGCCGAGGCCACCGAGGCCACCGCTGTGAAGGCCGTAGGGCCCCCCGTTCTTGATGGCCGAGTAGTGGCCGGCCTGCAGCCCTCCGAGCGAGCCGCCGGGAGGAGAGCCCTGCACCCCCGAGCCGAGGGGGCTGGGGCTTCTGAGACTCTGCGGGGGGCCGCCCGTCGTGAAGGTGCCCCCGTGGGAGACTCCGGCTGCACCCCCGCCGTAGCAGGGCGGAGGGGTGACCAGTCCGGCGGCGGTGTTCATGGCCATGTAGGAGTTGAAGGACGTCATGGCCCCCATGCTTCCGATGGTTGGGTAGGCCTGCGAGACACGTTGAAACTGTTAAATGAAAACGAGTAAATAATACGTAGAATGGTAATAACAAAATAAAATAAAAAATAAAAAAAATAATAAAAAACATAATCAAATAATTCTCACGACGTTTCGGCCACAACGCAAGCAGCCGTTGTGCCCGAAACGTCGTGAGAATTATTTAATTACGTTTTTTTTGTATTAATTTTTTTTTCCATTCTACATGACTTTTCCGAAAGAACCAAGAAGATGAATCCCTGCAGTCACGAAAGCTTTAAATCGAAAAATAAAAAGAGTAAATAATAGTTTGTTTTAACAAGGTAAGGTCCCACTGAGCTACGTAGCTCTTTTGCAGAAGACACCCAGGCTCATCACAAATGAGAGCTCAGCAAAGTGGCTTCTCGTCGCGTGGAATTTTAAAGCGGCCAGATAGTTGAAACGCATTGTGATTTTTCAATGTGGAGGGGGAATGGGGTAGCGGAGGAAGTGGAGAAAAATCCACGCGACCACGGGGAGAGAGACACGCAAACTCCAAATGCACAGCAGGCATCAGGGTCGGGATCGAACCCACGACTTCCTGCACACCAGGCGAGGTAGTTAACATCTCGCCACCATGCAAACTCCAAATGTACAGCAGGCATCAGGGTCGAGATCGAACCCACGACCTCCTGTATACCACGCAAGGTAGTTAACATCTCGCCACCATGAAAACTCCAAATGTACAGCAGGCATCAGGGTCGGGTTCGACTCCACGACCTCCTGTATACCAGGCGAGGTAGTTAACATCTCGCCACCATGCAAACTCAAAATGTACAGCAGGCATCAGGGTCGGGAACGAACCCACGACCTCCTGTACACCAGGCGAGGTAGTTAACATCTCGCCAACGCGGCGTCCCCAATCATACTACTTTTAACAAAACAATCCATGCCTCGAGTTTTCTGGCTGGCTGCTGGCCGGCACTTCTCCACACCAACAATGACTCTGCGGTTAGTGGCTGTTGCGGGCTGTTTCCCCTGAATCTAGCTGGGTTACTGACTACACCGCGATTTCCTCTGTAACAAACGGACATGGGTTGAACTGAAACGGCGAAAAAATACGTTCGGCAAGACATGAAATACCAATAATAACTACACTGGTCAACAACAAAAAAAGCATTTTTTTCTGACCTCGACTTTTGCAGCTGGTTTAGACTAATTTCAGGGTGCTGATTACAAATCTGATCTCAAATTTGCTCTATCACATCTCATTTTTATGCTATCGGCATACCCCATTTTCATTGATTTTACCCGAAATTAACTCTGTCACTTATGAGTGCAAGTTGTTGCGAGTCAGTGATTGCTTTAGTGTTAAAATTTGGTGCTGTATTTTTAGGATAGTGTTTTTATAATATAATTTTATGTAGATATCCACATTTATTTAATATTTTTATTCTGCAGTTTTTATTGAAAATGCAATGTTTGATATCTCAAAAACCTGATGTGATAGACAAAAACGGATGCCAGATTTGGAATCAGCACCCCAAAATTACCTTATAATCATTGGAATACCTTATGCCAAAAAAAGTGTGTTGACCAGTGTTATTGGTATTTCATATCTGCCATTGTTTTCTTTGAAAATCAAGTACTGTCCAAACCCAGTCATAGATTTATTCATAGATCCAGTCAAAGATGTGTTTTAGTAATTTCTGGTTTAAATTGAGAGCCCTTTCATTTATAACTCGCTTATCCTCCGCCATTCCCAAGTCAAGGGTTGTATATACTGACACAGCAGCATATCTTGAAAACTAGAGCCAATCAACACATTTTAGCGTCATTTTCATTCTCAGTGACCCAGAATTAGTAAAGTTGGACTACATTTTTATTTCGGAAGCTTTGTGGCTGTAGACCAGCGTAATTATAGCTAGCGACACCAAGAAGTGGGAGTCATGAATACAGAAGACTGACCACGGCTCGTTGAAAATTGCTCCGATTAACGCAATTATTTCGCCAGAATCTTCTTTAAAAGTAAAATAAAATCACAATCCACCACAAAAACGGTCACTGCTGCATCGCGCGCTTTCAGATGGGCTGCTTCTATGGCTGTCTGGAACGTTCTTCCTTCCCATATAAGGAAGCTACTGGAAACTAGACACTTTAAAATCATCTACGTTGAAATCTCATTTCTTTAGAACTTATTTTAGTTTCTTGTCCTTCCCCCGCGCACCTCCAATTAGCACGGTTGGCTACGTACGGTGCAAAAGAAATTCAACATACATACATCTTAGCATTTAGTCATTTTTTGTCGCAAAAATGCGGATTATTTGACGGCTTTCTTCTCATTTTCCCTTGCAGAGCAACAGCGGCCTCTCTGCTGCTGGTAACAAAAAATCATCCGCAGACAGTCTCAATCCACTGCTGGATCAACCTTCTTCATCCGTGTTGCGTGACCATGCTTCACCACCGCTGATCGTCGCGGGATGGTGAATGGTAGAGGACTCGGGTTGCTCTACTCGCCGCTGATGTGAGCCGTGGTCGGGAATGAACCTTAAGGTCGGGCACGTTGATAGCGCAGTGTGCTAACCACTGCGCCACCGCTCTCAGCTGGTTAGCATCATGAGTATGAATAACGATTATCATCGGAATAGTTTTTTTTTATGAAGCTTCCGCCTAAGTTAGCGAACTACTCCGCAAATAATAAACAGTTCAATGATACGCCCGTGTGTTCTCAGTGTTAGATTTTAACGCAATTACCCAAGCAAGCGAGGCGTCAGCTGATTGATCTAACTTCACAACATGTGACGAATTATCTTGAGAATAAAAGTCTTAAAATCCTCCACATAGGCATTCCATAACAATAACGTGGGGGGAAAATGTATACGTGTGAATATGAGTTGGTTATCTGAGTATACATGAGTGTGTGTGTGTATATAGGTATGTCTCAAATTTTAATGGGGAGCGGTAGTGTAGCGGTTAGCGCGCTGCGCTATGAACCTGGCGACCCGGGTTCGATTCCCGCTCACGGCTAACACCAGTGACGATTATCTGAACCGGTCCTGGGCCTCCCCTAGGTCGACTCAGTCTTAAATTAGTACCTGCTGTGGTGTGTAAACATCGCCACTGGGGAGACAAAGGCGGTCGGGCGTGGTGCTGGCCACCCACCCCCTCGTGTACCGTTCCGGCCTTCATAGGTGCTCGCTAACAGCACTTGCCCCTACAGTCTGTTAAGGCTATACGGGGGATCTTTATCTTTATCTTTATGTCTCAAATGTGTCGTGTAGCGGTAGTGTTGTGGTTAGCACTCTACGAACTCGGTGAACCGAGTTCGATTCCGGCTCAAGGCCGAGACCAAACACGATTATCTCAACCGGTCCTGGGCCTCGCCTAGGTCGACTCAGACTCAAATGAGTAAATTGTGCCGTGTGTAAACATCGCCGCTAGGGAGACAAAGGCGGCTGGGCGTGGTGTTGGCCAACCAATCTCTTGTGAGCCGTGCCGTTATTCGTAGGTGCTCGTTAACAGCACTTACCCCAACAGTCTGTTAAGGCTATACTGGGGATCTTTGTCTTTGTAGGTATACGTGAGTTTCCGGGCATGTCAATGCAATTTACAGACTGTATATATATGTGTGTGTCCGTTTTCATTAACATCACTTTATCCTGTGAGGCTACATTGGGCGATCTTTATTTTGTATGTCTATGAGGATGGGTGGCGAGTAATGTCAGGTAATAAACTGTAAACCTTGCAAGTGGTATTCATTATCACGCTGTCCATGAATAAAACAATTATTATCAATGTAATGTGTAAGGAGCGTTAGTAATATAACTGACGTATAATCACAATACTGCAATTCTGGCTAAATATCGCCCGATGATGCTGGATGTAATAACCAGCGACACGTGGTACTCAGATAGTGAATGTTGTGGGTTTACTCTCCAACACACCGGTGGACTGCAGCAGTAACGAATTGGTGCGTTTTGTTCACGTGGCACATCCCTTACGAATCGGTTGTGTCGTGTGGTTTACGGCTTTAACGACGCATTCATATTTACGCGATCTGACCCTTCGTAATAATATGAATAATGCCATTTTATAACGCGTAAATTATTTTTGGGGTGAAGCCAACGTAACGATCTGGCTATAATTAGTGTCGTGGGACCCTCCGCCACCCGACCAAGCCAAACGAATGAAAATGTCCACGTGAGAAGCACGGGATTGACGAAGTGGCCGTTGTTGCATTTGTTCAGCTAACTCACCGGTGAGCGAGTGAGCTGCGGGGTGAGCTGGTGAGTGAGCTGGTGAGTGAGCGAGTGAGCTGGTGAGTGAGCGAGTGAGCTGGTGAATCAGCTGGTGAGTGAGCGAGTGAGCTGGTGAGTGAGCGAGTGAGCTGGTGAGTGAGCTGGTGAGTGAGCGAGTGAGCTGGTGAGTGAGCGAGTGAGCTGGTGAATCAGCTGGTGAGTGAGCGAGTGAGCTGGTGAGTGAGCGAGTGAGCTGGTGAGTGAGCTGGTGAGCAAGCGAGTGAGCTGGTGAGTGAGCGAGTGAGCTGGTGAGTCAGCTGGTGAGTGAGCGAGTGAGCTGGTGAGTCAGCTGGTGAGTGAGCGAGTGAGCTGGTGAGTGAGCGAGTGAGCTGGTGAGTGAGCTGGTGAGCAAGCAAGTGAGCTGGTGAGCGAGCGAGTGAGCTGGTGAGTCAGCTGGTGAGTGAGCGAGTGAGCTGGTGAGTGAGCGAGTGAGCTGGTGAGTGAGCTAGTGAGCGAGCGAGTGAGCTGGTGAGTGAGCGAGTGAGCTGGTGAGTGAGCTGGTGAGTGAGCGAGTGAGTGAGCAAGTGAGCTGGTGAGTGAGCGGGTGAGCTGGTGAGTGAGCGAGTGAGTGAGCTGGTGAGTGAGCGAGTGAGCTGCTGAGTGAGCTGGTGAGTGAGCGGGTGAGTGAGCAAGTGAGCTGGTGAGTGAGCGGGTGAGCTGGTGAGTGAGCGAGTGAGTGAGCGAGTGAGCTGGTGAGTGAGCTGCTGAGTGAGCGAGTGAGCTGGTGAGTGAGCA